CGAGCGGAGCACCGGGCCCCGCGGCCCTCGCCCGCGACCGAGCGCTCGCAGCCGGACCCCGGGCGGCCGGGGCGGGGGAAGCGGCCGGCGAAGCGCTTCGCTCCCCGACCCTCGGCAGCGGGCCGGTAACCGGCCCCGGGAAAAGGAGAAGTTTCGGTCGGCGTTACGAAACGCAAAATCCGCCGGCGTTAACGAGGCTCGAGTCGTGGCGCGGAGCCGCCGGTTTGAGTCCTTGACTCGTGCCCTGCACAGGGGACGCGCTGCGAGCCTTCCACAGCGCCCTGCGGAGCTCTCCCGTCAACACCAAGAACCAGGCGATGAAGGTGACCGGGGCCGGGGCGCGGGCAGGGCTGCCGGGGTCGCCGGGCAGCTTCGAAGCGACGGCGGCGTCGCCCGGAGATGGATCAGCAGCACCTGACAGCTCGCTGCTAACGAGCCATACGGCGAGGCGCCGCGGCTTCTGCCTAGGCGATCCCCGCGTGGCCGCCCCGTCCTTCTCCTCGCTCCCGAGACCCCAAGTGAAGAACGCTCGCCGGCTTGCTTGCAGAAATAAGCCGGCCTTTAGCGTAGCCGCCCGCCCTCCGAACGCACCTCGTCGAACAACACCAGAAGTCTTGGGATCGTTTCCAGCTTTGCTGGTTCTCATGTTATTCTCCTTTCCTTGTCTTCGCAGGAGCAGGCCCAGGGAACCATGCTTAAAGTCCTCACGTCTTTTAAAAGCAGCGAAATAGAACAAGCGGTGAATTCCTTGGACAGAAATGGCATTGACTTGTTAATGAAGTACATTTATAAAGGATTTGAAAAGCCAACAGAAAATAGCAGTGCAATATTACTTCAGTGGCATGAAAAGGTACGTGTTTGGTGCTCTCTTGGCTCGGCCACACTCCCCAGGGACCCTGTTGGTGCTTTCACGAGAGGCCCTGCAAGAGAAGCGGGTGATGGTGGGGGGCTCACCCCGAGGAGCACAGTAACTGGCGTTTCCTTTTATCTTTGGTCTCCTTGAGCTCAGACTCATTAAGCCTTTACTCCTATTTCAAACCTTTCCTTCAGCCAGGGGGAGAGGCGAGACCTGTGGCAGGGCAGCGTCTGCTGGAGGAAGCATTGCGCTTTCTTCTGCATCTAAGGAGTGGAGTGGCCCCACCGAGGAGGAAGAGCTGGGAGCGGAGGTGTGGGTGGTTGAAGGGGGTAGCTGGCATTGTTCCTTTGTAGCCGAGTGTTTGGCCGAGGGGGTGCTCAGGCTGGCTCGGGTCTGGCAGTTTTCATCAGCTGAGCGCTGCTAGCAGCATATGTGTCACAGCTTCATAACAGGATTTAGCAAACCTCTTTGGTTTACACAGGAGAGGCCTCCGAGATCTCCAAAAAGATCCCACTGGGATCCAGAGTGGTCCTCTCCTGTTTCTGTGGAATGCCCGTTGTGAAACAGGGAGGGCAGGATGTGGTCGTCGGCCGACTGTTGAACATTCCCTCTGTGACAGGGTGAGGCACAGGAAGCAGCTGCTGGGCGCCACCGCCCCCACGCAGGAATCCAGGGGAGTCTTTCCCCACTGCAGGGGTTTTAGCTGCGGCGCTGGCTGTCAGTGCTCCTCCTAGGAGAAATGATCCCTAGGAATGCTGCAGCTCCCTGTACCACCGGCACTGTAGCAGTGCAGCCTGCTGGTAGTGCCACTGTCATTTTCACAGAGTATGGGTTTTTTTCCAGTGATATGTAAAGACAGAACTTGTGTAGAGTGACTCCAGCTACTAGCAGCTGTCACTGGCTTTGCAGAACCTTGACAGGGGAGCAGGAGGGAATTTCTCAGGACAGCAAAGAACATGTTTCTGCTTGATTTTTTTTTTTTCTTTTTCTTTCTGTTGCTGTTTCCACTGGAGACTGTTTTCAACTAACCATGGGTGGGTGCTCCCAGTGTGTAATGTTACACAACACCACTCTGACTGGAAAGATGACAGTGCTCAGAGCATGTAGGCACATGTAAAGCATTTCGTTGTCTTTGTTTTGAAAGGAACAAGGCAGATCTGAAGTAGGCTGGGCAGAGTTTAAAACCTTGGTTGTGTTCTGCTTTTTGGCACTACCGGTAAGACGTGTGGCTTGCTCAGAGAGGAGTCAGCTGCACAGTAGTAGTACCAGTCTGTCCTCTGGAAAAGGGCTGTCATCCCCCTGTATATCAGGTCTGGCAACTCAGGAACGTTTACATGCATGCAGCGCATGCAGGTAGCTCCAAGTGGATGCTTTGCATTCATGTCTCCTAAGGACAGTGAGGTGTCTCGTACTGTTGATCACTGCTCTCCTTTCATACATTGTAATACCCACTGGGCTGTATTTGAATTATGTCTGCAAAGTAAACACACCTCGTTTTGCGCAGTCAGCTTTAATATTTTTCATAATCACATCCATCATCTTCTAGACTTTAGAAGGATACGTTATTTACATTGAGGGATGCAAACGAAACTGAAACGAGCTCTTCCTCCTTTCCCACTCAGGGATATGGGAAGTGAGACATTCTGCGTCATCAATGACATGCGACATTGGTATCCTTCTCTAGATCCAAAAGATAGATAGTTAGATTTTGGAGAATGTAATTTTTCCCTTCAGATTTAGTGGTATACAGGTTACTAAATTACTGTATTTGGTTTTGTCTACCCTTCAGTCCCTTGGTTCTTATGTCACGGAGTATTGTTTATAGAATGTTACTATGTACATACTGCAGTAATTTGAGTCAAAGATCACTCTCATCTATATTTACAGAGAAGTGAGCCACAAACTTCCCAAGATCAGAACAAGCAAGGATCTGAGTTCAGGTCTAAGCTCCCCCATAGCCTTTTAACTGTCGGCCTAAATCGTTCAGAGCACACAGAGCAAAGAGGAGACAGTGTGCGAGTGTAGAAATTGCCACTGCAGGAAGGTAAAGGCGTCAGCAGGGCAGAAGGCACCTGCAGAGACACAGAGAGGTGGAACAACCCAAGAACTGTATTTCCTGTTCTGGTGGTAGCAGCCAGCGTAAAGAGTTGCGCTGTGGTCTTGGGCTGCGTGGGCAAATCAGTCCGTGCGAGTGCTTTGTGTGCTTGGAGCAGTTGTGTGGAGAGAAGCACCACTGCCTGGCCTCGCAGCCCGGTGGGGGGAATGCAGTTTCATCATGGAAACTTGACACTGCACAATACAGTTCAGTACCTAAACGAAACAACCTAAAATGTCTTTAAGGTCTGCATGTGCTAGAGAAAGCAAACAGATTTTCTCCAATTAGCTGTTTTAAAGATGCAAGAGCAAAAAAGGGGTGGAACAGCCCAAGCTGCCTATGTGTGAAAAGTAAGTTTCTGGAGAAGAGCCACATACTCTTCCGTTATTAAACACTTCATTGTTTGTTCTTTTAAGATGCCTTTTACATGCGACACAGTACCTGGCTTGCATGACACAGTGACTCTGTGTAACCTCTCTCCTTTTCCCATCCCCACAGGCATTAGCAGTAGGTGGACTAGGTTCCATAGTAAGAGTTCTTACAGCAAGAAAGACTGTTTAAAAGACTATTAACTTGAACCAAGACGACGCTCAGTTTTGGACTCAGAAGAAGGAATTAGCTGAAATGACGCTGGTCCATCTTTATTAGAGATTGCAATCTACTGAAATACTATGGAAACCTCCTCTTGGAATGCTTTTAACCTTAAAGGTGGGGGAAGAGTAAAGGTATTCCTGCATATTCCGACTATCAAATACAGGAGCCAAGACATTCTCCTGATCCCTTCTTTAAAAGGCAGAGAGACGGCACACTCCTGCCTCCTATTACTGTAAGAGAACAGGTATTTTTCAGATGCTGCTTTATCGAAGTGTGGTGATACAAGATCCTGTGTGTACTGCTTATTTAAGAGGTAGCTATGTCCTTGGCAGATGCAAGATCCCGACAGCTTATGGGCAGGAGAAGTGTTCATTAGAATGGCGGTTTTGTACGTACGGTTGAAGGACTAGTTGGACTATGGGGTTGGTTTCAGTGTAAAGTGCCTGCTGCATCAATAAAGTTCTTGGATCGCATGAGTGAAGTAATTTATTTTTCACTAAATTGTAAGTCTGACACTTACTGAAAAGCAGGCCAGCAGTATGCCAATTCTAAGCTAAGTGTCCACATTTGTATGAATGCTCTTAACTCCAACTATTTACAGAATTTGTCCTATGCTGGCTGGAGTGAGACCAAGCTCAGCTGTTCCAATCAAGACTTCTAAGATGCAGCGAGTATAATGCATAATCACCCATGATTTGGTGTTTATATTCTTGTCCATCCTAGAAAGTCAAGAAAATACTGCAGAATCTATTATTTATGTATTAGTGCGTCCTCACCTTCTGAAGGACTTACTTAAGTACAGCAAAAGGAGCTGCTTCAAGTCAGTATGCACAGATGATTTGTCCCAACAGAGCACAACTACTCAAAACCATTGCTCTCTCCACCGTCAGTTACAGCACCCTTGGCAAGAGCAGTGAGGTACGGCATCCCTCTGGGTCTTGGTTGGTGGTGTGCGCCCTGAGTCTGGCAGGGTTATCTGCCAGGAAGGAGCCTTCCTTTTGGCACAAATGAGCATACTCCAAATGAAGCAGCTGCTCAAGGAGGCCCCGCGCCATTCGTTTGTTTTTTTTATCAGCTGCTAAAAGTGCAGCAGCAGCTGTCCCTGGTGAGAGATGATTTTAGGAGGCAGAAGCACTCCGCCTCATTCCTGGCGTAACTCCCTATGAGAAATGGAGGCCTTAATTACATGGCTGACACACCCATTCTTACCCTGGGCAGAAGGTGGGGTTTGTTTCATGCTTTAAAATTCTCTCAATTTTAAATAGCTATAGCATCCCAGTGGAGAGAGATAACCAGAACTATAAAGAGAAAGAAATCAAGATTAGGGTTTTGATCCAAAATGTATTGCACCACAAATTTCATAGTGTTTCATAATACAATCCATATTTACAGCATAGAAGGAAAGAAATCCAATGGCCGTAGAAAGGATTATGTATACCACTGTTTTTATACAAGGGAAAGTGCATTAGCTTTTTAATATCTATGTATACACACCATTCTTGCTCCGATATCTAAAGAAAATTCAACACTTGAGAACTAGTTTATGGTTAAGCTGATCCTGTATGAGCTTTGGGATCTTAAACTGAAATTGTGTTAGTGAATATATAATCTCACATTTTATTTTGTCACTCTTTATTCCAGGCTGCCTGTACTGCTTTTCTTACTGTTCAGCAGTAACCTTTCAAGCCAGGATCAACATAAACCGATTAGTCATTCAGCAGGCATCAGCGTGAGTAGAGGGAATCCTGTCCCCTGGTCTCGGGTCCCACAGAAATAGGCCAGGGCAAAGGGACATTCTACAGAAAAAGACCTTAGAGAATAAAAGCTTCCCAGAACCAACAGGGTTATCCTGCCCCCACTTTGTTTCAGTAGAGGAGCAACTGATATAAACCCACTTTTTGATTGTCTATTTTCATACTAGAGCAGAGTTGTACTCTTCCCATAAACTTCTGTATGCTACTGTTAAGTGCCATGGATCAGGTTACTGAAGACTGTGTTTGGACAGGCTTTAGCGTACTAAAAAATCCTTTTGGTTTTCTTAACTTCAAATAAATACAACCTAGCTCTAAACTGAGGAGTGTCACTTGTGCCAAGGTAATAGCTACTGTGAATACCTGTGTCTGGGATATGACTGATCAACAAAAACTGGGGAGACCAGGCAGGGTAAAGAATTGCAGCACATTTACCACTCTGGTAACTGACCTCACGTGGAAGGATACATCTTTACCACAGCACAAGTGTGCATGGAAGCAGGGAGCAGCTCACATGCTGTAACTCTTAACACTACATCATCGACTGCCACCACTAAGGTCATTCAGACCCCTGTTAGCAAAGTTAAAACCTGAACAGTGACCCTACTTCCACTACAGGATAGCTGGAATTTTCTCAAATATATTTAATAAAATCACTGTTAGTAACACAAACCTCCTTGTAAGAGAATTACCAGAATTGCAGCCTGCTCATCCAGTTCCACAGATATGTAGTTTTTTGAAAATATGTCCAGTTTTTAAGAAGTCAGACTTACTGCTGCTTCTCATTTTCATCTAGGTTTCGCAGTGGTGTTATAACTAGAGGCAAAATTGTATTACTACTCTGTGAGGCAAGTGCCACCTTGGTCCCCTTTTCTTAAGGGGAGAAGGAAAGCAAGCTGCTGGAACCAGATTTATTCGTTAAGAGTTGAATTTTGCCCTCAAAAACAAAAACCTCATGAACAGCATTTCTCGTACCATGTAGTTAGAACACAGTTAACAGCCCACTGTTCATAACAGTTTTTAAGCATCAGTATTTGAAGTACAGAAAACCACAACCAAAGGGGCGGATACTGGTTATAAAGATTTGTTGCTAGCAGACTTGGAAGAAAAAAAAAAAAATCAATGCGTTTAGTACCAATATTCTTCACCCTTTGTCACTAGATTTTTTTTTTTTTTAAAAAATAGAAGGTATTCTCAGTGTGCATTTACAATACCTGGAATTCAGCTTTAAAAATTTAAAATGGTTTACTATCCCTTCTTCCCAATGCTAACAACCTATGGTACAGGCTAATAGATTAGTTTTAAAGGCGACTGAGTATTAGGTACTATAATTAAGACCATTTTAATTATTATTTTTCTTTAAGAAAAGTAAAATCAGACAACTCTAAAGTTGTGCTCTCAAATTAAATAATCATCATCAACATGCAGCCTTCAGGACTGCAGGCCAGGATATATGCACCTTAAATTACACAGTGATATGAAAAAATGCAAACTATTAGTTATGTCAGTATTGTTATAGGCAAGGCAGATTTCTTTTTTGGTTAAAGCTCCTGCTCCTGTTCTTTGACAGGCTTTTCAAACCGTCAAAAACTCAATACAGTACTGCCAACATTTTTTTTTTTTCATTGCTTGCTTTCCACAGCAAGACAAGGAAGCTTTACTGTGCCTAGAGTTACTCAACTCTAGCACTCTGTAACAGAAGCTGGAATCACCATCATAATAGATGCACGCGTTAGAAGCTTGAACTGCCAGCACCGGTATTAGCGAGGTTAACGTTACCCTTTGGTGCCAAGAAAACAAGACCGATGAGCACAAGGAGCTGACTTCCATTAAGAGACCATCGAGACAATGGTCCCCGAATCCAACCCAGAAGAGGTGTTTCAGTTTGTAGTGAAAATTTCTCCTTGCACAGTATTAGTTTTGTAAACAGTGTCAAAAGTTCTTGTACAAAATACTGCAATGACAGTGATTAAGACACACCTGAATTAGTGTGTTCAACGTTCTTTTCACAGAAAAAAGTGGCTAGATGCTGACTGTCCAATTTCAGGTTCCCTTAAGGCCACAGTGTCCTTGGGCTTGAGATAGAGGGCCGGATACTGCCTTTCGGAGATGGCTTTGACCCAAACCATGACATCTAGGACAAAAAAGCACAATACACATATGCTAGGTTCACACTTCTAAGAAGCTGAAGATTTGAAAAAGAAAGAATATGGTACAGAGGCAACTCCCCATCATTTGATGGAAATAACTATTTATAAAATGGAATGCTGCAAACTTCAGACTGAAGAAGTAAAGATAGTTTCACACAATCCAATCTGGAAGAAACAGCATCCACTTTCCACAAGTGAAGATGACTGAAGATTACACTTAATATAGTCCTTTAAAATAATGACAAATCACAAATCTACAGTCATTTAAACACAGTACCTTTAGTCAATCTAGTATTAAACCGTTCCGTTAACAAGATGGCGAGAAAATCTCCCTCAGCTGCAATCATAAGTAGACTGAACGTGTCCAGCTTACTGACTGCAGAGATGAATGCAGGACACAGAAGGAACCGAGGCAGCACTCATTTATGAACACTCACTAATAACCACATAGCCAGGGACATGCAGGAGATCTCATTTTATGCAATGGAAAGGCTTCCTGCTTTTAAATATTTGACTGTACTCCAGGCAAGGAGCTTCTAGCTTCCCTCCACAGACAGAGTCCACTGGGCAAAACTATGCTGTTACTCATTCACTGAAGCACTGGAAAGTTGCTACTTCCCTCACTGAAATGGACAAATTCCGACATGTATGTACGTGATTAGCTAATATTTTAATAATAAATTACGTTTATTATTGTAGCTAACATTTGGAGAAGATACTTTTCATGATCTCCCAGCATCTAAGAGTTTTCATTCCATCTGCTGGAAGTCCCGTTAAAGACTACAAGTGGAACAGAACCCTTACCTTGTACTCCAAAGTCTCTTTAAGCATGTTTTCTTCCTCTTGTGAAAAATTCAGTAATACAGATACAGCTTTAATTAGATGGAATGCCTGAAAGAAACCACAGTATTTTGTTGCTTATGATGCTCTCGGGCTCTACATTCTGGACTGCAGTGCAGCACAGTTTTTCTGTGGGTTTCGTCACAGACTTTTTAGTCACAACCGCAAAGAGCAGACCAGCAGCCTGCCATTATCCCCAGTTCCAATAGACTACGATGGCCTCTATCTTATTTCTTCTGTTTGTGTTTCCTGGCTTTCTGTTCTTTAACGCTGGTTTGCATATTTGCGGGAAAGACGACAAATGGGGAGCCTAGTTAGAGAAGAAGCTTGGCTCTTGTGGCATCCTAGTTTTTTTAAGCTTTGAAAAGTTGATCAAACCAGCACATAGAGTGGAAAGAATCATGGCTTTTTAAATATACACTTTATATTAACTCTGTAGTACTAACATTCTAAATGGGGCACACAATGTGGAGTTAGTAAAGGAGTCAAGCACTCTGGGTACCATGGAGTTGCAGAATTATTTCTTGATCTTAGCCACTGACTTGCAATTAAGTGAAGTATATTGTTGGCATAACTTTTTTACCTTTAACTTTTTTGACACAACGTGGAGAGCATGAAGGATCTTCAAATGCAGAAGGAATTACCTCTTACAGATCAACAGCAAGTGGTTTATGTCTTTTCTTGGGGTTTTTTTTCTGTCTTAAATGTACAACCACTCTTAATTACATACTCCATACGCTTTTTAGAGTAGCGCAGAGGGATGTCTTATAGCTTCAGATCTTTAACTTCCAGACATAACTACCTCTTAAAAATTCACATTTCCCTTTCATTTAGTTCATAATAATAATCTGTACTTTCAAACATATCACTGTTAGCTACTTTGCTTCATTGTGCTGGATCAGTCAACAACTTTTTAAGTGTAAGAAGTATAGAATTGGCATAGAAGTGTCCTTAGCAGGTAACAGGTGGCAGTTTCTAGAGAAAGACAGACTTAGAAAGAGAAGGTAAGTGTACATCTTTACCTCAGATTCCCGGCAGGACATGAATTTTAGTACAACATGTTTAAGGTATTCAAAGTTTATCTCCCTTGAGTCATTTAAATCAGAGTTGTTTGTGACAGTCACAGAAGCATTAGGCACTTCAGAATTTGCTTTTTCACGTACTTCAGGTACCTCACTGTCAGGCCTTATTTTCTAAAAAAAAAAAAAAAGGAAAAAGAGGAAGTACATTGTAGACTCTGTCAGCTTGACACTGGGAGAGGATCCGGGTCTGAGATATCTAACACAGAGGGCTTGTATCCACAAGGTGGGTACAACCTGGACATCAATAGGACAAGCTTCTCATCCTTCATGGGATCAGAGCAGAGAAGTGTCTTCACCTCTCCCTAGACTCTAAGACAGAAGCTAGTTGCTGTTAGCGTTACATGTACATTACCCAAACCAGCATGGAATTGGTTCCATGGTAGAAACTATCACCTGATAATTTTCTTTTATCACTAACCTGCTCTGCACCTTTCAAATGTGGGCTTTCTCCAAAACAATTTTCAAGCTCAGAACAAAAATAACGAATTTAAAACCTCCTTTGATTTTTTTTAAATAGAAGAATTTTTTCTTAGGAGGAAAACTATTGTAAAAGGGATTAAAGGGGAGCTTTCCCTGGGGCAGACATGAGTCCTATGGTAAAACTTAGCTGAATGGCAGCTCAGTACTCAGAAATGCATTAAATGCCCAAGATTACCAAACACAGGTCTTCTGTAGCTAAAATTCTCTGTTGCAAGGGCTGAGTGGTGATGGCTACCTGTCACACCATCCATTCAATAAATGATCCAGAACAATGCACTTCCTTAATTTAAGGGTTCACTGATCTGCCTGCAAACACAAGGGAACTTCAGACATCCCTAGTAAAAAAATTACGCTCTAGCTAGCAGTTAAGCTTTTGCAATTAGTAGTGCAAGTAACTGTCAGTAAGTGCCAGCTGAAGAGACTGAAAAAACATAACCCTTACCAACTCTTTCTGGAGGGTTTTCTTGAGTTCTGTCATTCTTTGCTGTAGCTGCTTTATCATCTGTAAGCACAGCAAAGGATAGTGTTAATACAGTATTGTCAAGACACATTTTGACTGACAGGTATCTGGAAAAACCCATGACAAACAAGTGTAATGAATGAAACAACATTAAACAACATTGACAGCTCTGAGGAAGCAACCCACATGTCTTGCCTTTCTAGCTGCACACATTAGCAGGCCTGTGACAGTATACTTGGCCTTTTGTGTGACAGCACAGTAGAAGTGACCTGAATTCACACAAAAGGGCTCTGCAGGAAAGCTGTAAATGGTATCATTTGGTGCATCTTTCCTCCAAAAGAGATAAGGATTCCTATGATTCTGGCCGCAGTTTTTAACCACTGTTCCTAGATCCTTGAACAATCCAGAGGAAAAAAATTTACTCACAGAATACTGGATTCAAACTGGATCTGCCATTTCGGTAAGCCTGTTGTCCTAAGGCTGCAGCATGGGCAGCACCAATTATTCAGCTTCCTAATTAAAAGGGGTAAGACTAACAGCCATTTCTGCTGTTTCAGTTCACCTTGTTTTTCTCAGCAATTTGCTGTTCCAGCTCTCTGTTATCCTTCTGAAGTTGAATGACATCTGCAGCCACTACCTCTCCATTCTGTTCCACCACATGGTTTTCTGGAGAATGGAAACGCTTGTTGTTCAGGGCTCTCGTTGATTTCTCTAGTTCTGAAACCTATAAAAATGAAGAGTGAATTGGAGAGATAACATGACATTTGCAAACCATGAACACTCCCCAGGAAGAAAGCTAGACTTCTTTTTGGTTGTTGTTTCAGGGGGGTGGCTGCTTTTTTAAACAGAAAGCATTAGTGGCTACATCTCTCCCTGGCCTGCTTATTACTTTTGGGTCTTTGTCTCATTGGTTTCATAATGGTTCTCCCAAGGCATTTTATGAGTCAAATAAAATAAGGGGTTGTCTTTCATAAACCAGTCACAGATCTGACTGGAAACAGCTTTCTTTAGGAAGACAGTAAACAAAAAATAATGGTGGTCTACACTGCTGGTCACGAGGTCACGAGCCAGTTGTCAGAGTAAACAGCTCCAAGCACGTATCACCAGGCATGACAGAACAGGGGGTCTCTTGCACACCTACTTATTTTCCGGAGAAGTCTGAACAGATCAGATTTGCAACCGCACTCACATTTTTCTCGTGTTCTCTGGCCAACAGGCACTCCTGCATCTGCAACTTCATTTCATCGATTTCCTTTCTTGCCATTTCTTCTTTCTCCACTGCTCGGCTATTACTTGCTTCTATGTCAGACTGCAACTGATGCATTTGCAGCAAGACAGCTTCATGATCTGAGAAAGGCAAGACCTGCTTAGTATCAGTCTACTGAACCAAATGGGAGTTTCTAATTATTTTTCTTAAATGAAGCTACTTAGTGATAGTAAATTCTGAACTTTTTGCCTTGCTCTGTCATAAAGACAGAAAAGACGATGGAATTTAAGCCACCCGAGCGCACATGCATGTTTTTGCGAAGGAGCAGCCTAACTGTCTGAAAGTCAGAGTGATTTTAATACTTAACAACATAACTATCAGTTAGACCTGCTCTAAAAGACACCATCAAAAGTCTGTGTGACTTGTGCTGTGGCTGCGCAGGAACACTTGGGGCTGAGCTGCGAGCACAAATGGCTAGCCGGCACAAATGGCTACCAACACATGGCCAGCCAATGGAATGGTGCATGCAACAGGAGGCTACAGTGTTGTTCCCTTTGTAAATAATGGCAACACACAAGAGAAACATGGTGGGGTTAGGAACTGAAAGAAGATGACTACATTTTTTAGTAGGACTGTGGAATACGAGTTTGCAGCTGCTTTTTAAAATGTACATAATCTTTCAAGCAAGTGCAGTTTTTAAAGTGGTGCAACAAAGTAGCAGGTTTTGATCTGTATAATTTATTTCATGTTTTGCGCACCACAATAATTTACAAAAAGTACAGCAAGATTTGTTATTTTATGGTGTAGAAACATAAGACTTTGACTTTAAAAAGTGGTTTTGTTTTTAAGGACACAGTAGATAGATTGTCCGATTGTTGCTGAAGGATACAAGATTTTGAAAATTCTAACAGATTAAACATGGAAGAGAAATCTAGGATTATTACAATCTATCAGGCAAGCCCAAAACCAGAGACTGTACTTAGATAAAGCTGTCTGGGATACAGTAGACTCGCTTGGTCTAACCTTGACTGAGTTGGTTCAGTTCTTCCTTCTGTTTTAGAAGCATATCACATTTTTCATCAATCAGCTGGTCTTTTTCCTTTATTAAGGAAGCCAGATGTGAAACCTTCAAAGCAAACAAACAAAAATCATTAGATATAAAACTAGAAGAGGGCATTGAAAGATTTCAACATACCTCAGAAGTTCAGAATTTTTTTTTTTTTTTTTTTTTTTTTTTGTGGGAAGGACTGGAGAAGAACTCCTGTATCAGTGACAAAGGCAGTGGCTGGTATCTACAACTGGCAGGGGCTGCCTGAGTTCTGTGCTAGACAATACAACACCTTGAAAAAGTGGTTTGTGCAGCATTAGTGTTACAGATAATACAATGTGGATGTCTGTAATCTGTCCAGAGACTCACAGAAGACATCACCTCTACAATGCTGACCTCATTAAAGAGCACTGAAGTCAATGTGCTGTAAGAGCTAAAAGACACTTCACTTCTGATAAACTCTGTGCCATAATTACAGATTGCCTCATAACCAGCAGGTGGCAGCTGTAAAACAGCCACTCAGCAAAACCAGAGATTGCCTTATACCCCTTTCACATACAGGTGGACCAGGCAAGCATGGATCTACAGCAGTCCCAGAAGAATAAAGAAACCAAAAGATGGGACGAAATTTGGTCAAACCTGCTCAGTTGGCAGTTCCCAGCTTAAAGAAACATAAGTTCACATTATCCACCGTGACCATTTTTAATAAAAGAAGAGGAAAACAAGACTACCTAGAATTTACATTTGGATACCGGATACAACCTCCTCCCTATGAGGAAATTTACAATTTTAGAACTGCTGAGGGACAAAGATGTTCCTTTCAGTGTTTATATCAAAACAACTGAACGAATAGGTTTCCTTAAAACAAACTGCCAACTAGTCAATGGCTCAGGATGGCTGACCTACTGGGACTACACATCATCTTACAGATTTAAAGGGCTCCGAAATACCAGTCACCTTAATTCTGAGCAAATGTATTCACTTGCTACCACCTGGTCTTCCCCTCAGTTGTCCATATTCAACTGCCACAACTTGCCATAACTCTTGAGTCTACAAACTTATCAATATCCTTAACTTTGCAGTCAGCAGCATTTTACATTCTTCCAATGGAATAACTCACCTAAGTTGATTACATTCTTGTGCAGGCATTTACATAGACACCCTTAAGTTTCAAGTTCACTGAGGCAACCACTGCTGTCTTGCATGCTGAGGATATGATTCTGACTCATGTTCCTGACTTATGAAAATTAAGTCCAAATCTAGTCTGGTCTGTGCAAGGTCGGGAGCACCCAAATATTTTAAACCATCAGTATTAACCAACCTGCTGTTGTAACTCCTCTCTCTGTTTTCGTGCTTCTTCCAATGCTTTGGCAATTTCAACACTGACAGTCTCTCTGCTGCTCAATTCATTCTGCAAACCAAAAGTAATTCAGAGGTTACTCAAGACAACTAAAATCAAGTCAGTCTCTCATCTTTAAACCCAAATTCATTAGCAACTAGAACAGCGTGATTTACGCTTCCAAATGAGTTACTGTTGTTTTACTGCACTGCTGCTATCTGCATGTGCAAGAGCAACACAGAACTGATGCAAGGAGCCAAACATATCCAATGCTTAAAAGATCTTTTAGCTTGAAGTCTCTATTACAATGAAGTAGCTCCTTCCTACAACTGATCTCTATTCCAATTGTGCATCTAAGAGTAGCTACAGAAAAAAAAACTTTCAACACTAAAATTACAGTCAAAAGACTGAGTATAAGCTGTAAATACCTGACCAACTTAAGTTTTTAACTTGTGTTTTGAATGCTATGAGTGGAATTTGATGTTGAGCTATTCTGTATTCATTCCTGCTAACAGGATTTAAAAGCTCTTCAGGCCTGACAATAGGGGAATGTATTATTTCTGCCTCATTTAGGCAGACCCAAGCATTCTATTTCAGAAAAGGATCAGCTATTTGTAATGCTCCTCAAATACATTTCTACTGAGTACCAAAGATGATTTACAGCTGTTAAGTACCTGCAACCTGAATGTAGTGTGACTCCCAAGTACGGAGAACGTAATACACTTTGCCATTAACTGTTTCTCAAACAGCTTTGTATTTAACCAATGTCACTAACCAATTAAGGCCTTACCTTTAACCTGTTCAATTCAGACTCTTGTTTTTTTAAAGAGCTCTCATACTCTGCTCTGCTTCCATTAAGATTTTCCTTTTCCTTTTCCAACTGGCTCTGTAAAATAAAGATTGCTTAAATACCAAGTACAATTATTCTAATGCTTTGTTTAAACAATTAAAGTCATCAAATGCTTTGTTCATATTTAGCTTTTCAAAGTATGAGATCTTCTATTATAATGCTAGGAGTGCTGAATAAGAACATTTGGACAATATGCAAGATCTACAAGCTGTGTTAAAACCATTTTGTGAAGACCCACATGGCCCACTTAACAGTTTCTGTACTTACGATCTTGTGCTGAGTAGCTGTTTTATCAAATTCCCAAGCTGTTTCAAGAGCAGCAATTTGAGACTCCAGCCCAGAAATTTTCCGATCATACTGCTGTTTCTCACTTAAAATCTGTTGCTGTAGTTTACTTCTTTCGTCCTCTAGATCAGTTTGCTTAAGAGAAATAAAGAACACTACATTAATAAAATGGTATTTTAAAGCTCTGACAAGAATCGGACACCATTCAATGAGACACATACTCAAACTGAAGCAACACTATTCCTTTGGGAGCAGCATCATGTACTCATATACTGACATTAGTTTAGGGGATAAACAGCAAGAAAACACTTGAGTAACAAAACACAGAGAAGTGAGTGTCTCTGGAGATGCTGAAGACTGATCTGCTACTGGTCAGTGAAACATCATGCAAGGTACTCACCAACTTCTGGATCTTCAGATCCTGCTCAGCAGCTGCTTCTTCACTCTTTTTCAATGCTTCTGTTGCAATCTGTAGTTTTTGTTCCAGTTCTTTATTCTAAAATATAACCATACATTAAATTCCTGATCCAATGTCATCTATGTTATTAGAAAAAATATACAGAATGTGGGATGACCCAGTAGGGGAAAGTAAACATTAGAACCATGAAACCACATAGTTCAGAGGACTGCCCACTTGCTGCTTTTAAAAACTCATCACCATACCACTACTGCCCAGCAATGCCTGCACTTCAGCTAGTTGTTTCTTATGACAGGGAAGATATGCATGAAATCTCTAACTTCATAACCTCTAGGCCCTTCTCTGCCACTGCAGGTGAGGAGATGACCAGAGACGTTGATCAATTAGACTTTCCTTTCAAGACTAAATGTGACATACAGTCTCTCGCCTTTGGCTGAGAGCACAAGTGCAGTGAGGGGAGGAGGTATAGGACATAAAGATGCTGGAAACAGTGGGAATTTGTAGTGAAATAAAAAAAATACTTACCTGTGTTTCCAACCGGTTCACAGTCTCAGTGTGATGCGTTCTGTCTGTTAGTACCTGCTGCCTGGTTTCATCCAGTTTTTGCTCAAGAGTAGCTTTCTGAAGATTACATTGAGATGAACAGGAGGAAGGATGGACAAAGAGATAAGTGGGGTTTCTCAGTTAAGATTTTTCTTTTTATTTCATTAATAGGGTCAAACTAAAATGGAACAGTTATTTTGATGTGCAATGCAGCTTTGCTCTTGGGAGCCAGCAAGTTTGATGCTACTGCATAGGGCCTCTGTAGATCACGTTGCCCTGGGGATGACATCATTAAGAATGGGAAATTCACTGACATCCTGTCATGATCCAGATATAAGCTCTAATCAGCAGCTAAGTTGTAATTTTCTAACCCAGGCCAAGTTTAAGGGATTTAAAAAATTTTTTTTGAAAGCTTAACTTCCCCTGCATCACAGCAAATACACAAACAAACAAGGTAAAACATTTGCTAGTTATGGTAGTTACTTTTGAAATGTTTTACTACCCCCCCATGGACTTTAAACTGGCTCGAGTTTACTAAGCCAAACTCTTTTATCACAGCAACACTGAGTTGATATACCTTGTAGGTAAGCCTGACCAAGGAAGAGCATACCTTCCCTTGTCTCCCCAAGACCCAGCTGGGGAAGCACAGCTCCAAGCTGATTCTGAACAGGAGCATCAGTGCTTGAGAAAGAGATGAAGTAATGAAAGAAAGGACATTAACCAAAGCTAAGGTCTTTCTGTTTTCAGCTGTTTCTTAACACTTCTGAGGCTCAAGCTTTCAGTATACAACATTCTGTTCAAACACCTATGTGCAAAAACAGTTCCCCTTCCTGTCCCAGTGCTTTACAAGGCATGGTAATAGAAGATGAAGAACAAGGAGAAGTGTTCACTGTAAGGATTAACCAATAAAACTCCCAAGTTGTTCTACCTCCTGTGAAAATGTTAAAAAGCTGCTCTTTTGCTTCTAAGCAGTCAGATGCATTGCCTAAACAGACAATGCAGGAAGACCAATAAAGACAGCTGTGCAATATCTACATGAACAGGCTCAATGTAGATACCCACACAATTCTGTCCAGCATAGACAGTGTGCCAATATACACTGAAGGGACAAATGTGCCTGCATTACATCATCATATATTCTTTCCATGTATGAGAAGTAACGTTATGTCCTAAAAAAGAAAAAAATCTCACTAAGATTGCACTTTTAAGCAGTCTATAAATGTATAATTACCTCTCTGAGTAGCTCCTGCACATGTTCATCTCCTGAAAGATTTCTTTCTAGCTTTTTTTCCAAGGAAGACACTTTTTCCTGCAACTGTTCGGTAAGTTTATTTCTCTCAGCAAATTCAAAAGTCATCTGTGAGAACAAGAAATCACAGCATGTTTTTTGTAGTGAACCTTTCAGCTAATCCATTGTGGTTTGACTTTATGCTATTAGAAGGAGAAAAATCTTATTTGGAAAGACGATATGATCCCAAAACACTTTCTAGACACCAAATGTCAAGCTCACAGTGCATTACCCAAATGTACACCTTGACACCAGCCAACAGCAGATGCATCTGAAAACACTTAACCTTTTGCTTGTGTTGTTCATATTCCACCTTCAGAGATTCATGCTCCACTTGTAACACTTCCAGTCTCTTCTCACAACCAGAACCAGAAATTCGAGCCTAAAAATTTTGAGAAATTACTTGCTTTGAAACTTAGATTTCCAAAAACACACAACTGATATCTAATCTAACTTCTGCAGACAAGGAGCTCTTTAAATCAAATCTCACTTAACTCAAACTTACATTTTGCAAGTCTACAGAAAGCTGCTGAATGACAGTTTGTAGCTCCTGTTCTCTTAACTCCAGAGCAGTGATCTTATTTTCTGCATTTGTCTCAGCTGTCATTAGTTCATCTCTTCACAGAAAGAGAATAAAAAAAAGTGACATACCGTTCCAGAAAAATAATCTTTAGCAGATAATTCTGCTACTTATGAAAATGAACTAAGCAACAATATTTTCTTGTCCTAAAACCAGCCACTGCTTGATTACACATTTTCCAAAAAAAGTGACAGTTAAGCATTCCAACTATGAAAAAAAGAAATCATAACATGCTTACAAAACCCTAAACAAGTACTACTTTAGTTGGCTTGAAAAGAAACATGAACCTGGCATTTACATCCACATCAGCATAGCAGAAGCAATTATTCAGTCAACTCACTACATATATAAACTCTTCCAAAAAAGCAGAGCTGGGCATGAAGTAAAAGTATAGGGGAAATGCATACACTGCTCCTCATGGAAGACCACATCCATACCTCTGTGCCTCTAGCTCCAAGAACTGCTGCTGCAATTCTTGAAGATCTTTCCTTAGGCCTGATGACTCGTTGCTTGCATCCTGAAGCACCTCTTTAGCGTGGGCTAGTTCTCGAGTGCACGCCTCTAGCTCCTGCTCTGTTTTGCTCAGAGATTCTTCCTTTTTCAAAAGCTGAATATTAGAATGTTATCTTAGACAATAAAGATGACCCAGTAACACTGATAAAGCCTTCTCATTGAAACTTGTCCTTTTTATTAAGTTATGAGCTGAATTAAATGAGATAATAAATAACTCCCAGAAAAGTCACTGTTGAAATAAACTATGTAATATTGAATGCATGTACCTACTGCTGAGATTTTGACACCGACCAAGACTGTATACGAGCATAAAGGCTAAAAAAATTAATGCAGAGCTACCACTAACTTGGTACTCTAACACAAATTTTAGGAAAGAAAAAAAAAAAAGTTTAAAAAAAGCTTACCATGTGTTTAACTTTGGCAATTTCCTGCTGTTGAAAGCCCTCCAGTTCATCAATTTCATCTCTTTTTTGAAAAAAGTTCAAACTCTGCTCCTTCATTTCTTGTAACTGTGTCTCAAGCATTTTTTTTTCCTGATAAACCAACAACAACAAAAGGAAACCAAGAATATCTGTATGGTCATTTCAAGTCAATGGGAGTTTAGTTAAATTCTGGGAAAGGAATCTTGTCTTGCAGCCATAAGGCTCTCTCATGGTGCCATATATAGCACTAGAAACTCTTTCACATTCATGTCGCAGTAGGCAATGTGGAGCAAATTACCGAACTTCAAAAATCTCAAAAAAAATCCGTATTCATTACAATGCAGCCAATTATCACCTAACTGAACTCTTAAAAATGGGCAGCAAACAGTAGCATGTTTAATGTCTTCATAATCAGAGATACTTTAAAATAGACTAAGCTAAAGAGCTGGAACAACTACAAGACTGAAAGCCTGTATTAAAAAAATCCCTACCAAATAGTTTATTTTATGAAACAGATGACCTACTGCAAGAGCTCAGACGAAGTCACTACCTCCTTCTGTATCCCAGCTGCCTCCTCTGTAATAAAGGAAACTATTGTTCCACCTTACAGAAGTACATCTTTCTCATCGCAAGCCATCATTCTTTACTTCCCCACTGAAAAACAATTCCAGAAATATCTCCTGAAGCTCTGGGGCTGGCAACAAAAGCAAATGTTTGGCCTCTCCCATTGAACCAAGATCAAATAATAAAAAGGGCTGAACAGAATTGAGTTGTAGGAAGTGTGCAGGCTGGTGTTTGCAAATGTACTACACAGAAACATTAAAAAAACAAAACAAAACAAGCCAAAGGTTAATTACCTTTTCAACTTGACCCAGTTTTTCTATCCACTCCTGACCAAGTAAGAAAGGAGAAAAAAAAAAATAAATCAATTTGTAGACTTTCAAGGACAGCATTTATGGTAAAAAAAAAAAAATTTGTATTGTTAACAGAGATACTAAGTTGTGGTAATGATTAAAAAAATAATCAGCAAAGGAAAAGTACCAGCTAGTGTTTTAATACATAAAGGCTGAGGAATCATTTATGCCACCTGAATACATAAGCTTTTGTTGTGGTTTAACCCCAGCCAGCAACTAAGCACCACGCAGCCGCTCACTCACTCCCCCCCCATCCAGTGGGATGGGGGAGAAAATCAGGAAAAGAAGTAAAACTCCTGGGTTGAGATAAGAACGATTTAATAGAACAGAAAAGAAGAGACTAATAATGATAATGATAACACTAATAAAATGACAACAGTAGTAATAAAAGGATTGGAATGTACAAATGATGCGCAGGGCAATTGCTCACCCCCCGCCGACCGACACCCAGCCAGTCCCCGAGCGGCGAATCCCCGCCCCCCCCCACTTCCCAGTTCCTAAACTAGATGGGACGTCACATGGTATGGAATACACTGTTGGCCAGTTTGGGTCAGGTGCCCTGGCTGGGCATGAGAAGCTGAAAAATCCTTGACTGTAGTCTAAACACTACTGAGCAACAACTGAAAACATCAGTGTTATCAACATTCTTCACATACTGAACTCAAAACATAGCACTGTACCAGCTACTAGGAAGACAGCTAACTACATCCCAGCTGAAACCAGGACAGCTTTATGCAAGCAAAATAAAATAAAAGCAACAGGTCTACTGCAATTGAATCTTACCAAACCCAAGTACAAGCTTAATTTCATTTAATTTAATTTAATTAGAAATTGTTTTGGGCTCTTTTTAAAAGCAGAACAGTCAGAACAATGACAAGTCCTACACCATTTCTGGCATTTGAACTTAACACTCCTTTCTTTCCTCAACACTGGCACGCTAAGCATACACAATGCTGAATAACTATTTTAATTAATGGCGACACCTGCTTAAAGCATCAAGGTCATGCACTCAGATCTCCACAGACAGTCCAAAGTTGAGTTGTTCAAGCTCTGTTACCTGGTCCTTTTTTTCTAAGGCCAAAGCCATTCCTTCAGCCATCTTGGCTCGACTTGCCTGGTGAGCTTCATTCTGTTCCTGAAACTTCCTCATGGAGGCTATCAACAGAGAATCACCAGCTATATTAAAAACTCATTTTTTTAAAATTGCTTCTCAATTTTCTTTATGTTATTTATAACTTTAAAGAGCTTCTTCTGCAAGTAATTAGCCCCATCTTGACTCTTTAGGACTAACGCTGTGCCACTTATTACCTCACACTGCTCGCACATTGGACAAATGCCAGAAATAACAGAAGATAGAAACAGCGTTCCTCACTGGATTATAACAAAGCTGTAGGTTTCAGAAAGGTCCCTCCTGCATGTCAGCCCCAAATTTGGCAAAAGGAGTATAACAACAACTTTGTTCAACAGCCAACACACTACTGCTGCTTTTTACACTGTAAACAAGGCAAGAACTTGTGTTCTAATTCTTTGCAACCTAGAGGTGCACAGTTTGAAAGGAAATGATTAAAACATATGTACATCAAACCCGTTTCCTTCCAACCATAACAATTTTCAACTTAAAAAAAAGGGAAAAAGAAAAGTACGTACAATCCTGATGCTTTTCTAATGCATTTTCAAGCTTCTCTTTTATCTTCTGCAAGTTTCGGATCTGATCAGCATAATCTTGTGTGAGGAAGGAGACGCACAGACCAGGAATGAACAGACATTGGGGAAGGAAATTTTTAGGGGAAAAAAAAAAAAGAAAAAAAAAAGAAAAAAGGATGAGTGGAAAATGACAATGATTTTCTTAATCAGAAAATCATTCCTGCTGAGGAGATCTTGGGTGACCATAACAATGAACACAAGTAAATAGTTCTGTACTGTCCATAGGGTAAATGGTTGGTACAAACAGGAGGACTTGTCCTAGGTGTGCTTGTTACACAAGAAAGGGCAGCACCAGAGAATGAAGAACTATCCCCACTTTTTACTTCATTCAAGAACAGCGATCTATTTAACTCTGTTTAGGAAAGGTCTCTCTCATTGGAGGATGCAAGGATGGGGCAGTTCACAGACGCTTGCATCCTTGTTCCATGCTGCTCATTGTTCAAGTCACACAGTATCTCTGAGGCTAAGCACTGACTGGTGCTCCCACTGGGGTAACAATCTCCCACTCTTACTACTACCATGCCTACCAAGCAGAACTGACAAGGAAGGAGATATTAAAAAAAAAAAAACAGAAGAAAATACACACACACCTCGGAGAAGTTTACACACAATGGAAAGGAGGATTTACTTACTGATTGGGCTGCTTGCACAAGCCTCTTGATACTCAGAGCCTCCTTCTCTTATACTAAGCCCCAACCAGCACTTTTGAGTTTAACCTTATTCAAAGAGGTGAACACTTTGCCCTTTCAAAGTGCAATCTGAAATAATTTTTGAATCCTATATTTTCTTCAACTGAACAGGAGTCTGATAAATCTCCAGAATAAATTACAATAATCCTGAGCTGGCTATAACCTTTCCTTATTTTCCAAGGCCTTTGGGAAGCAGCAGCATAACACAGTTTAGTCTAGTCTCTGATCCACTCCATACAATAAGCATGGAAAGCAGTGTCAGAGCAAAGCCCTTACCACAGCTTTACAGTAGGTATTATCTTGGAAAGAAAAAAAGCCTCAACACTGTTTTATGTTGAACCCTTTGCTTTTTATTCATTTCAAAGTTCACTTCTTTAAGGATGGCACCATGTTACTGTCAACATCAGAAAGCTTAGATCCTAAGAGAAACAAACCATTACATACAAAGAGTAAATAAAATAAAAGCTAGGAAAGGCACTATTTGAAGCATGGGGACAGAAAGGTATCCCAGCTGTTCAAAAGAATCACATAAATGTGTCGTGCAATCAGCAGAAAAGAGTCAGTCTTCTTTATAAAAAATCAGTGATACTAGATGCTACCTAGATGACAATCAACAGGGTTGTTACAAATAAATTTTCAAAAAAACCTAACCCCATGTATTTTTAATAAATTAAACCACTTAAGTTCAAAGGAAAGTATTTCCTAAACTAATAGGGTTTTATATGTATCAAGACACATACCAGACAGCTTGACCTCCAGTTTTCTTATTTGTTCATTTCTTCTGAACAACTGGGATGAAAGATCCTCTCTCGAGCTGCTTCCATCAGAAGCCTTGGTAGAAAAACAACACTCACGTAACTTACAAAATTTAGAAAAAAGCAATCCTGCCATATGCTAACTCCACGATAACACACAGTATCCCACCTAGAAATAATGCTTCAGTTTTTCACATAAAGGGGAAAGTTGTACTAGCACAGCAGAATGTGTAAAAAGTGCTGAAGAAGAAAAACAGTAAGGGCTTAAATAGTCAGCTCTGCAATGCTAGCCTGTTCCATGAAATACAATGCTTTTAAAAGAAGCTATACTGAAAACTAGTTGTTCAAACTGATCACTGAGGAGATGGCATAATGGAATCACTAAGGGCGGGGGGGGGAAATCAGGCTCTACAGTACAGGTTTCAGGATGGGTCAAAGCAAAAGTCTTCTGAGAAACTAAGTAGAACAGAAACAGTAACGCTCTTCAGGTGGGATAAGCTTGCATAAGCACTAATACAGTAGTCTTTCCATGCAATGGTCTCTCCATGCAAAATCTACCGTATAGCTGACTTATGATTCTTTATGGGGTTTTTTTTGCTCCATAAAAATCAACAGTAAAAGCAGTTAAATGAATATTGCTAAAACAACTAATTCTTGGAGGTTTTCTGACAACCATTCAAGACTTCAGCTACTGTCATTGTTTTCTGTTCTCTAAACTTGCAAGATGGTGAATGAAATTTCTACGTGAGAATTTAAGTGCAAAAAAAATTCAGAAAAACACAAGACTAATATATTTCCATTGTAAAATGTATTTAAACATTAGGAACTCCAACTTTCTGCTTAACAGAACTGTAATTTCAGCTGAACTTCAGAAAAAAAAGGAGTTGAAACTCAACTGTGTAAATAACCTCTCCATTTTGCAGACAGCAAAACAGAACGATAAAGCAACTTGCTGCAATACAGCATATACTGTTGGTTCCAACAGTGGTGCAACACTGTGTCTTAATCCGGGTTTTCAAAAATAAGATTGCCATCAAGGGGCAGAAGTGCCAGAGCATTACAGGGTTTCATTTACCCCATATGCTCCTGGAATGATACCACTTGCTTAAAAAACACTTTATAATGAAAGAGAATTTAAACCAGACGTCGGAGGAACTACAATGGTTTTGAGTGCAACAAAACTGCATACGCGTTCTTGGCAGTGACATTAACGATATGCTTGGGTAGGAAAAGCACCAGGAAGCCAAGAGGTAAACACAGATCCATGGTACAATGATAGCTAACCAGTGCCTGGCTTGCTTTCCTACTGCTTCAGTAATTAATTTTACAGATAGGTACCTCACATGTTACTACAGCTTTATTCAATATTTTATGTGTGTTTAAGAATGTTCTGTATTGAGATAACTTTGTTACTCATGTTTACATGGGAATATAAGCCTCCTGGTAACTACCACAGTTCACACACAAATATTTTCTCTTCAGTATTTAAGTTTATTCGAGCTAGTGATTCATTTATGCATTAAGATGCCACCTACAAAGACACCACAATACGTATTCAGCTCATACACTAGACTTAAAATGGTTGTCTGTAAAACCATAAGAGAAATGCTGTAAGAGAAATCAAAATTCAAAGCAAGGTGTAACTTACAAAGTCATCTCCGGAGTCTGCTCCCACAGATGTAATTGACTCCTTGCTAACAGACCTGGGTATCCTGGCAGCTCCTCCTGGTCTGGGAGCAATAGCTGCCTCTTCCGCTATTTTCTTCTTCAGTTTTGCAAACATTTTACTGCTCTATAGCATGGAAATATCCAGGTACTTTGAAAGCCCAGTAGCTCCAATATGTTTAATATACTGACACTCTGTTTAAAGCCTCCAGACGCCGAGATTTAATTTCATGCCTCATCCACTGTTTTATTGCATTTCTAGTTCCATTAAAGCCTTCATAGCCTAACAGTACCTGCAAATTAAAGAGATATGGTTTCCACACTAAAAATTTCTACCCATATTAAGCGTTTAAAAATAACTAAATGCCTTTTAATGGCACACCTGTTATAATACCCTAAGAAGAGAATCACCCAGAGCAGAACCCTTTAAAAAAAAAAAACCAAAACCCAAACAAATCCCAACCGCGACCGTGTTC